ACAAGACTAGACACACACACTGTGTGATCACTAGAGAAACGGATGAGTTACTGAACCACACCAAGGAATTGCAGTGTCTAGAAAGGGGCTACTGGAGTGTTGAGTTGTGAGTATCATATTTTCAGAAGTCCGGGACAAGCTTACAAAGGCATGAATACCTTGTAATCTTTAGTCGCTGTTGTATCCATTATACACACATATGAACTGAACACCTACTGTCTACCATTCTAATCACCGTTTCTAGCAGTAAGCAAGATAGGTCAACATCTTGCTTTCATGGAGTTGACAGTGTAATGAAGGTGCACAGGTAGTACATATGAAAAATAAATAGGACAATTCAGGAAATGGACAAGAGAAAAGAGGTGAGGCAGGTGGGCCACAGTGAATAATTACGAGAACTCATTTGGGGTGATATTTCAGTACGTGCTTGAATAACAGAGAGGGAGAGGGTTGTGCCACACTCTAAAGCAAAAGCATCCCCTGGAAAGGGCAGCAAGCCCATGGGGGCTGAGCAGAAATGGACATGCCATGCCATAAGGCCAATCTGATGGGGGAGTAGCAAACTGGGAGGACATGGTAGGATGAGCTGTTATGAACTCATGCTGAAGCTACCATACCACTCTGGGCCTTTGTGGAAGTGAGAATGAACTGGATATTATTTGCAATAGAAAGTCTTTAGGAGTTTTCAAATGGAGGAATGATAAGCAAGCATAGCATCAGAAAGGCCAAAGGTATTCAAATATTTCAGCTAAGAGATAATAGCTTTTAGGTTGGGGTTATACCAATGGAGAGGAAGACAAATGGTGATATCTGACATCTTTTGGAGCTAGAGTCAAAAAAACTATGGATGGGTAGGCTGTTGGCTAATGTAGAAGAGGAGGAATCGGGATGAATCTTGGTTTTGGCTGGCAGCTAGGTGAAGGTTCTAATTAAATGAGGTAGAAGAAAACTTGTAGTTGAGGGAAAACTCAGGAGAACCAGAAGTATAGGCACGGACAAACATTAGGGGTCTCTCCCCGCACATGCCCACTTTGACGCGTGTAGTACCTCCCAGGGTAGACATTGAAAATACACAGGTGGATTCAACCGAGTTGTTCACAGAAGAACCAGGCCTGGGACTAGCTCTGGGGATTCAGGAGCGTGCAGACAGTAGGTAAGATGATGTCCTGAAGAGGCCACCTGGGCACTGGTGCTCACAGAGGATAACAGAGGGTCCAATGTAGAAAGGCCTAACTTTTCGCTGTGCAGCGGGAGAGCTGAGAGCCAGCAGCTTGAGGAAGCGCGGCCACAACACACAGCACCGCAGAAGCATGGAGACGTGCTGAAGGGAGAAGATGTGTTCTGCCAGGTTAAATGCTGAAATAGCAGCAAATGGTCAGTGGGAACCTCGATCCCAAGGATCCGAGGGTGACAGTGACAGCCAGTGTGTGTCGCATATAAGAACAAAATGAGAGTTGGGAAAATGGAAACAGGCTGTGGAACATCGCCTTTAAGGAACTGTGCTGAGCTGTGGAGCCCAGGCCCAGAGCAACAGCTGGAGGGGAAGGGCTTGGAGTGGAGGTGTCTGAGAGAGAGGGGTGTGAAAGCATGGGATTTGCCAGGGGGCGAACACACCAGGGGGAAGGGGGAGACATGGATAGGACAGAGCTGAATAAAGGCCTGAGTCAAGTTCTTGCAGGAGAGAGGAACTGGAACTCAGGGCACAAGGAGAGTCACTTAGACAGGAGGAAGTGTATTTCTTCTTTTTATTGGGAGGGGAAGGACAGTAGATGGGGAGAGATACAGGCAAACTAACAAGACTGGTTGCTTCAAAAAGTGAACTCATTCTTACAAAAAAATAGTAGAAGGAACAGAAGAAGGCTTGTTTCCCTATAGAAAAACAAAAGGCAGGGGGTGGGATGGATCGTCGGTGGCTATTTTCAAGTATTTTAAGGTAACGATTCATTAACAATCAGTTATAAAGTTTTAATCTGTGCCAGACAATCAATTATTCTAGATGCTGGATATAACAAAACTTAAACACACCTTCCCTGTCCTAATTAAGCTTACCATACAGTAAACACAATTAAGATTAAATATAATCATTATTCTTCTGGGGGCATTTACATAAAATAATCAAAACACAAGGTAAGCTATATGGAAGCCAAAGAAATATTCATCAGCTTTCAGTGGGCAAGGAATTAGACATTTTCTGGATGGTCCCAATGCAGGAAATACATACCAGTACCTAGAAGGTTCATTCGTTGTGACCGTCAGGACTGTTCAGAGTGCTTTAGAACATGCATATTCCCCCATTAATGGAGACATTTCACTAGTGGTAATAACACAGTAGGGATACTGTGAGTGGAGTTCAGATATCTGAATAATGACTTGACCAGGTCAGATGAACAAGAGGCCTCCTTGCAAATCTTGGGTACTGCACGCAAACGAGTCTAATGTGCTGGGTATGAAAGATTAGCCCATGTCATGGCCACTGACAAAAACAGAAACTGGTGGGGGGGTCAGTGAGAAACAAAAAGAAAGAGGGAGCACTCAAGACTTTTGTTTTTGTCATTTCTTTTTAAATACAGAATGGTTTTCTTGTTATATTAAGCTTTTTGAAGGGATGGCAGTAAGCGTTTTCAAGAATGAGAGTCCAGTGAAAAGATATCCGTATGTGCAAGCCTGTGGGTGCTACTCCCTCAGGAGTTATTTTTTTCTCCCAGTTATTCAGGAAATCCAAGCTTCCTCAATGGACATGGTGGAGATTTGTCCCTGCAAGCATTCTCAAGAACCGAAGACTATGAGAGTCCATGAGGTACCACGCTTTGGAATAGGAACACACACGACTGTTCATTCAAACCGCATACTGGGAACTCACTGGGAATTTTAGCTCTTGATACAGACGCCTTTGGATCAGCCCAAAGGGCACAGAATGTTATTTAATCATGTCATTCTAATTAAGTGGCCCTTCCGTCCAATTTCCTGTCCGTTTCAGCACATCCTCCAACGTCCCTGAAACGCCTCCCCACGAACAACCAAAGCCAGGTTTCCAGAGTGCATGCTCAGCTATGGCACACGTTTTCAGTCTAGAGTCCTATGTCTTTCTTCCTGAGCATCTATTTCCATCCCCAAGTCCTTCAGGCATCCGTTCTGTAATCCTAAGGGTCTGCTTTGGGTGGACTTCAGAGGCAAAAGTGGGCAGGCCACATGGCACTCACCCTGTTCCTGTTATTTGCAGGTATATCCAGTGATGGAGAAGGAGGGCCGAACACGCCTGGCCCTCATCATCTGTAACAAAGAATTTGACCATCTTTCTGTGCGAGAAGGCTCTGAAAATGACATTTTGGGGATGCAAGGCCTCCTTGAAAACCTTGGATATTCGGTGGTTATAAAGGAAAATCTCACAGCTCTGGTAATGCTTTAGGACAGTGGGATAAGCTTCCTTCCTTCCCTTTCTTTCCTGGACTTCTTCCTTCACAGCTGGAAGAGCATAGTGCATGTTACAGGAATTCTCCTGAAACCCCTGGGTTTCAGCCTCTTCCAATGCACACTTTCATTAGCAAAGATTTATAGAGTAGTAGTTCACTAAAAACGTTGGATCTTTCTAATGCTCTCCATTAGGGAGGCACCGATGACTTGATAGTCTTTGTGAGTCACAACCCTGAGCCCTTTACAATTTCAGTATTATGTGTCTCGATGTAAAGCCAAGTATGCAGTCAAACAAACAAACAAACAACAACAACAACAAAAAACCATGAGCGCTCACATACACAGAAAGTTGTGATCCTGGCTCTACCGAAGAAATACCACGGGTGACTTTGGATAGACCATTTTAAACCTCAGAAGGAATTTGTTAAGTATCTCTACTTTATGTCAGTAGGAACCAGTCCCTTACTCTGTCTTACTCTTTTTAAATGAAAACTTGGGGGAACCCCAACATGTAATACAGATGAAAGCAAAGCCTTCTGGTAGGAGACCTGCCACCTCACGCGCCCCTCCTTATACTCCACCTCCCAGCACCTCCCCTAGCCTAGGTTTCCACTGAAAACCAGTGGGCTACACACTGGATGGAAATCTCTCTAGGGGTGCCTGGGGGGCACAGTGGTTTGAGCATCACAGTCTTGGATTTGGCTCAGGTCGTGATCTCAGCATCCTGAGACTAAGCCCCGTGTTGGGCTCTGTGCTCAGCATGGAGATTGCTTGAGAGTCTCTCTCCCTCTGTTCCTCCCCCAATTCCCTCTCTCAAATAAATAAATAAGTCTTGAAAAACAAAACAAAACAAAACAAAAAACCCTGCTAGCCTTTACCTTCTATATGTCTAAATTTCTGCTTTTATGTCGGGATGCCCTCTGATTCGTTAATGCCTCTCTGTCTACTCTCTGAGCACAACTGTGTATGGAGAGTTTCTAGGTAGTAACTCCAGAGACTCTTTCAGGAAATGATAACGGAGCTGAAGAACTTCGCTGCCCGCCAGGAGCACCAGTTCTCAGACAGCACGTTCCTGGTGTTCATGTCCCATGGCACCCTGGACGGGATCTGTGGCAGGAAGCACAGAGATGAAGAGCCAGACATTCTTCCTGATGACACCATCTTCCAGATTTTCAACAACCGTACCTGCCACGGTCTCAAGGACAAGCCCAAGGTCATCATCACGCAGGCCTGCCGAGGCAGTGAGTAGGGGTGGGGACACCCAGGGAGGGGCTGTGAACCTCCTCCTATTGGCCTAGCAGCTCGCCTTCATGTTCCCAGGGATGAGTGACACAGACAACATTTTAGAACTGCACTCACGTCCAGTCAAGGAAGAAATTAAGTCTGGGGGCGCCTGGGTGGCTCAGTTGTTAAGGGTCTGCCTTCAGCTCAGATCATGATTCCAGGGTCCTGGGATTAAGCCCCACATCTGGCTCTCTGCTCAGCAGGAAGTCTGCTTCTCCCTCTCTGCTGCTTTTTTTGTGTGTTCACACACTTGCTCACTCTCTCAAAAAAATAAGTAATCTTAAAAAAAATTAAGCCTGTATAATTTTTAAGAAGTGTGAAGCACACTAGAATGATAACAAGTGTCCTGGTCCTGGTCCTTTGGGTCATTCTAAATATAAGTGGGCTCTGTATGTTCTGCAGTCAGTGAGGTAGTTTTTCTAGCAGTACACACTTGCATTTTTAATAAATCCCATACTAGAATGTACTGCAGTAAGGGTAGCATGGTAGAAGAGATTCTGTGTGTGTGTCTATGTGTGTAACTTCTTTCGTAAGACACGGGTGTCTCTCCCAGGAGGTGACGGGGCCGTCTGGGTGACCGACATGGGAGAAGCACTTGCGTGGACATGTTACCAGCCCTTGGAGCGCTACATCTCCAGTGATGCCATAAAAAAGACCCACGTAGAGAAGGACTTCATCGCTTTCAAATCTTCAACTCCACGTAAGTTGACTTCAGAGAGCAGTCTCTCCACGTCCTATCAGTTTCCAGATCCCAGGCTTGGCTAGGATCCTACCTGATCACTATTAGCAGAGCATTTCTTCTCTAACGATAGGTTTGATGTACAGAAGACGTTTAGAACATTGAGATTACTTTTATAACTTGAAAGCTGTAAGTCTTGAATTTGGAGGAAACTTTCAAAGTAAACTGGACTTTGGTGAGGATCTGAACTAAAGCCAGTGTAAGTTTAAATAAATGAAGAGTTGGTTTTTGTTTGTTTGTTTGCTTGTTGCTGAATATAGCACTGGCCCAGAAGTGTATGTTAGTCCCATGGTCACCTGATCATCTACTAGCAGTTAAACAAGGCAATCAGTAACACTCGTAACACTTGCTTCACATATTCTAGAACCTCTTGGCTGGTTATCTGAATCTAGTCTTAAAAAATTAGTTAACATTCAAATGCCTGACTTCAATATAATGTAGCCAATGACTGAAAATCCTCCTTTGGCAGGAAAGACATAACAGAAGATAGAAAGAGAAGATCCGTGGAGTCAATCATGGTCAAACCTGTGGGAAATCTATTTAATGGTCATCTATGATTTTGTTTTATGAGTGTTTTACAGAACCTGAGCAACTTCCAGAATCTAGTTTACATAAGTCACAATTCTTTTTAAGGATTTTGTATTTTATTTTATTTGATATAGAGAGAGAGCGCACAAGCAGGGGCAGCAGCAGGCAGAGGGAGAGGGAGAAGCAGACTCGCCGCTGAGCAGGGAGCCCGACATGGGGCTCGATCCCAGGAGCCTGAGATCATGACCTGAGCTGAAGGCAGACATTTAACTGACTAAGCCACCCAGGTGCCCCGCACAAGTCACAGTTCTAATACAAACCTGGATGTGCCCAGAATATCACTACAATAGAGTTCTGATTTGTGGGTCCAGGGAGGGCCTGAGATTCTGCTGGCCCAAGAGGATGCCCTGAGTCTCGTCTGGGGAAACAGGACACAGGCTGTGCCAGGAACACCCATTCCATACCAGGAACAGTTCTACTTTGTCTTACCTGTTGGAGTTTGATTAAAGTTTTATTGGAAAGAGGAGCTCTCTACTTATAGCTACTGAAGGAAGTTAAAAAGGCATATGCAGCCTGATGCATGCTCTAAGAGACTATTTTAGTTAAGGGCAGAGAGTCTCCTATGTGTAAGTCCTCCATTCCTTTCTGTACACATAGCAATGCACTGAGACGGACCGGCTCTGGGCACATGGTACACAGCTAAAGCCACCGGGCTTGATGAGCCTTACGGAGTATAGTCAGAGCAGAGGGGCCGAGATGAACTGAGTGGAAAACCCATGCACAGCCTCATACAGATAAATAATGCTTGTCAACCGTGCTGCGTGCGTTCAGGAAAAATGTGTTGAAAAATGAAGGAGTGAACTGTGTCAGTGGTCAGAGAAGGACAGTGGACACAGAAGTCCTGGGAAAGAGAGGAGCTGGAAAACAGGGCCAGAGAGTCTGAAGCACGGAGCCAGGGGCCGGTACCAAGAGGGAGGTTGGAGGGGTAGGCAGGGGCCGCATAATCTGAGGCCTCATATGCTAGGGAAGGATTTGATCTTTAACGTTGACATGCTTTATTACTAACACTGCTTTATACTAGTGGTAATCGGAAATTGTGGTGAAACATACCTCACGAAAAGATGAGACCGACATCTTTAGATGTCCACTCTGGGGATTCTATGGGGAACGGGTTACGGCACAGCGAGAGGCGACATGGGGAGACAGGTTAGAACGTGACCGGGGTCTCACAGGTCACAGGTGACTACGCCAGGCTTGGGAAGACATAGCTGTTGAATCCAGAAATAATGAGGATGGAAAATTTGTATGACCTGCTGTTTAGTGGATATGGCGGCTGAATAAGACAGGGTGACACAGGCCACCTGAGGTCACCAGAGAGGATTGTGTGCCTTCAACAAAAGGGGAATCCTGCGAAAGAGTGTGAGATGCCTTCAGCATACTTCAGGAGGAAAGGAAGAGTTACCAGGAGAGCTACTCTGAAGAACAGAGATTGGCATCAGGATTTGGGGAGATGCTTGCCTGAGCATTATCTTCAATGTTCTAACAATGGGAAAAATGACCCAGAAACAGAGAACAGACTAAGACATCCCAAAGCAGAGGCTGAACTGCAGAGAACGAAGGCCCAGGCAGCAGAGTGGGCTCAGGAAGTATGGCTGGAGGATAAGAAAGCGAAGTAAGAAGAGTATGTGTTGTCAGTTACCCGGAAAGAATCTGTGGGGGCTATGGCCTTTCTGATTTGAACAAGCCATTAGGTAAAGGTGAGGTGCAGTAAGTGACCGTGAGGTTTAATGACTTGGAGGTCAAGCCGGCCATGGGAGAGCCCCACGTGAAGTTAGGGCGGGAGGTAGGGAGACAGCAGCTTGCAGTGCGCGGGCTAGGAGGGCGAGCCTGGGAAGGGAAGCAGCTGCAGGTAAAAGGACAAACAGGAGACGACTGGCATTTTGGTGACAGGAGAGGCTGGATCACACTGCAATGGTAACGAGCAGCAGGTGCTCAAAAGATGTTCCTGATGAAAAATTACCAGTAAACTATTACAGTAGCCAACAATGTGTCATTCCAATTTTAGAACATGTGCTGCTAAAGCGAGCACTACAGTAGCCAACAGTGTGGATGAGGGGTTCAGACTCAAGGAATGGCAAGATCTAGGTTCCTTTTTCTGATTGTACAGTAAGCACTGGAAGGAATTCCGTTCTTCCCCTCTCCCTGCAGCGGTGGGGGATAGCTCTGTGCTTAGGAATGTGCGGGGGCATTCATGACTGAGGCCCTACAAGGGTCTCCTCTGCACCTGTGGCAGGAACCTGACATCCAGCTCTATCCAGACTTGTCTCTCCTTCAAAGCACCGATATCAAACCGTGTCCAATAGCTATGACTCTAAGACTCCTCCACACTTACACAAAGGCCCCATCTCCCAATATTTTAATGCTTTTCCTTTGCAGATAACGTATCCTGGAGATTGAACACAGAGGGGTCTGTCTTCATTTCCCAACTTATCCACTACTTGGGAGAGTACTCTTGTTGTCACCATTTGGAGGAGATTTTCCGAAAGGTAGGGGTCATCTTGTCTTTTCACATTATGCCCCGGAAAACTGTGCAACCATTTTCAAACCCTTTTTTGGGGGGAGTCCTGAAAGCTCTTAAGCTGTCGTGACATGCCTTCTGGTACCCCAGGTTCGCTTAAAGAGGAGGTGTTTTTGAAGTGTTGCTTGGAACCAGCATGAATTTCATGGGCTCTGAGCCTTGCTTATTCAGAAAATGCTTTTGATGATACTATTTTGTTCATGTATGCACTATAGCCAAGGAAAAGCTCAGAATTTCTTCTGTGTATTACCTGGCAACAGCCTTGATCTCTGAAGATTTTCTTTACTACCTCAGGTTCAAAATGCATTTGAGAAACCCAATGCAATGATCCAGATGCCCACGATTGAGAGGTTATCCATGACGCGATATTTCTACCTCTTTCCTGGGAATTAAAATCCATCTGAAGCGTCTCGGGTAAACGTCTCCAAGAAGCGGACTTGGGTGCTCCCTGCTCAGAGTCTGTGCGTATAATCTAGAGAGAGCGGAGAGCAGGGACGGAGGGCAGCCGCCCACTAGCTACAGTCACCTCTGCATTTTCTTAATGGCCCTGGTAAAACTCTGCTTTCTTTTGAAATTACTAGAAATTGTAAGTCTAATGGTAGCCAGCTAGAAAATCCTTCAGTCTTCATGTCTCTCAAGGACCTACCTAGTGAGTGGAAAATATTTAGTTCCAACGCATGCGTAAAACAGCTGGCCTTGTGCGGGCAGCTGACGTGTGGCTTCCTCCCCAAGAAGTCAGGTGCGCTGAGTCTCATTCCTCTGTTTCTGACAAGGTCCGCCTGACCACGGGGCCAGCTGATGGCTGCTGGGTCCATGCTGCGACCGTGAGGCTCCTGGCAGATCCTCCCCTTGGGGGATGAGGGGCTCATGGCCCTTCTGTGAAGGCACACCTCATAGTAGAGATTAGTGCTATTCATGTCTTACCTCCAATAACATCTTTACTTATGTTTTCTTCTTTCTAATTTTCCCAGGAAAATCTAGCCATTCCATTTTCTGTGAATCTACTACTTTAAAAGGTTAATGTTCGAATGTGAATATTTTTCTACCAAAATTCCCACTTGTCCACCCTGAAACAATGCCACGTGAAAACCATGGTCATAGTGTTGCTGAGTTAGTGCTTAATAAAATTTTTTGAAAATAATATTTGTTTTCTCATTCTATTGTAGAAGTAAATCATTTTCACTGCAAAACAAAGTTCAAGTATAGAAAAACAGAAAATAATAGTTAATGGATAAATATATGATCACATTAATAGGTATCCTGATATTAAGCAATGATTATGTTCTTGGGATGGCATCTTTGTCATAGAGGGTCATTCATTTATTCTCCATTTGAGATCATGTGACTGATATTTGACCTGGAACTCCACATTTACAGATGGGGTTCTCATTAATTTTGACTTATGTCTAACTTGGCCGTAGGATATTTTTAATAATATTTTGTAATGAACTACAAGTAGTGTTTTTTGTGAACTCTAGAATGTCAAAAATCTATTATTTTCTAGTTCACTTAGAAGTTCACCTGAGGGGAGGAGTCAAGATGGCGGAGAAGTAGCAGCTGAGACTACTTCAGGCAGCGGAGATCAGCTAGAGAGCTTATCTATAGATTGCAAACACCTACAAATCCAACGGGAGATCTAAGAGAAGAACAGCAATTCTAGAAACAGAAAATCAACCACTTTCTGAAAGGTAGGACCGGCGGAGAAGTGAATCCAAAGCGACGGGAAGATAGACCGCTGGGGGAGGGGCCGGCTCCCGGCAAGCGGCGGAGCCACGGAGCACAAAATCAGGACTTTTAAGTCTGTTCCGCTGAGGGACATCGCTCCAGAGGCTTAACTGGGGTGAAGCCCACGAGGGGTCAGCATGGCCTCAGGTCCCGCAGGGTCACAGAAGGATCGGGGGTGTCTGAGTGTCGCAGAGCTTGCAGGTATTAGAACGGGGAAGCCGGCTACAGAGACGGAGCCGAGGAGTGAGCTCACAGCTCGGGGTTACCTTGAACCGGTCGCAGGCTCGGTGAGCTCGGAGCGCGGCCGGAGGCCAGGGTGACGGGAGCAATTGGGCGCTGTTCTCTGAGGGCGCACTGAGGAGTCGGGCCCCGAGCTCTCGGCTCCTCCGGGCCGGAGACTGGGCGGCCGCCATCTTCATTCCCGTCCTCCGGACTCTACGGAAAGCGCTCAGGGAACAAAAGCTCCCGAAAGCAAACCCGAGCGGATTACTCAGCCCGGCCCCTGGTAAGGGCGGTGCAACTCCGCCTGGGGCAAAGACACTTGAGCATCACTACAGCAGGCCCCTCCCCCAGAAGATCAACAAGAAACCCAGCCAGGACCAAGTTCACCTACCAAGGAGTACAGGTTCAATACCAAGGAGAGCAGCGGAATTCCAGAGGAGGAGAAAGCAAAGCACTGAATTCATGGCTTTCTCCGCATGATTCATTAGTCTTGCAGTTAATTTAATTTGGTTTTTTTTTTCAATTTTTTTTCTTCTTCTGCTAATTTTTTTTAACTTTTACCCTTTTCTTTTTTAATGTTTTTAAACTAGTTTATCTAATATATATATATATATTTTCTTTTTTATAGTTTTTCTTTGTTCATTTTCTTTTTTTAATTGTTTCTTTTTTTTTTCTAAAACTCTTTTATCCCCTTTCTGCCCCCCATGATTTGGGGTCTCTTCTGATTTGGTTAAAGTGTATTTTCCTGGGGTCTTTGCCACCCTTTTAGTATTTTACTTGCTCCTTCATATACTCTTATCTGGACAAAATGACAAGGCGGAAAAATTCACCACAAAAAAAAGAACAAGAGGCAGTACCGAAGGCTAGGGACCTAATCAATACAGACATTGGTAATATGTCAGATCTAGAGTTCAGAATGATGATTCTCAAGGTTCTAGCCGGGCTTGAAAAAGGCATGGAAGATATTAGAGAAACCCTCTCGGGAAATATAAAAGCCCTTTCTGGGGAAATAAAAGAACTAAAATCTAACCAAGTTGAAATCAAAAAAGCTATTAATGAGGTGCAATAAAAAATGGAGGCTCTCACTGCTAGGATAAATGAGGCAGAAGAAAGAATTAGCGATATAGAAGACCAAATGACAGAGAATAAAGAAGCTGAGCAAAAGAGGGACAAACAGCTACTGGACCACGAGGGCAGAATTCGAGAGATAAGTGACACCATAAGACGAAACAACATTAGAATAATTGGGATTCCAGAAGAAGAAGAAAGAGAGAGGGGAGCAGAAGGTATATTGGAGAGAATTATTGGAGAGAATTTCCCCAATATGGCAAAGGGAACAAGCATCAAAATCCAGGAGGCGCAGAGAACCCCCCTCAAAATCAACAAGAATAGGTCCACACCCCGTCACCTAATAGTAAAATTTACAAGTCTTAGTGACAAAGAGAAAATCCTGAAAGCAGCCCAGGAAAAGAAGTCTGTAACATACAATGGTAAAAATATTAGATTGGCAGCAGACTTATCCACAGAGACCTGGCAGGCCAGAAAGAGCTGGCGTGATATATTCAGAGCACTAAACGAGAAAAACATGCAGCCAAGAATACTATATCCAGCTAGGCTATCATTGAAAATAGAAGGAGAGATTAAAAGCTTCCAGGACAAACAAAAACCGAAAGAATTTGCAAACACCAAACCAGCTCTACAGGAAATATTGAAAGGGGTCCTCTAAGCAAAGAGAGAGCCTAAAAGTAGTAGATCAGAAAGGAACAGAAACAATATACAATAACAGTCACCTTACAGGCAATACAATGGCACTAAATTCATATCTCTCAATAGTTACCCTGAGTGTGAATGGGCTAAATGCCCCAATCAAAAGACACAGTGTATCAGAATGGATAAAAAACCAAAACCCATCTATATGTTGTCTACAAAAAACTCATTTCAGACCTGAAGACACCTCCAGATTTAAAGTGAGGGGGTGGAAACAATTTACCATGCTAATGGACATCAGAAGAAAGCAGGGGTGGCAATCCTTGTATCAGATCAATTAGATTTTAAGCCAAAGACTATAATAAGAGATGAGGAAGGACACTATATCATACTCAAAGGATCTGTCCAACAAGAGGATCTAACAATTTTAAATATCTATGCCACTTATAAGTTCACCTAAAAACATATATAAAGGACACTGTGAATTTATTCCTAAGTGGTAATATTTTAAAAACTATCAGAATGTTGATATATTCAACATTTCAACATGTTGAATATTTTCAGTATTCAACATTGAAATTGAATATCTTTTTAAAAAATTACCAATGTATATCTGCATCTGTGTATTCATTATTTTAACATTCAAACTGCAAATGAAGGCCAATTTACACAAGCACTAAAAAAAAAAAGCTTTACTTTGTTTTAATCCTGAGAACAATACGATGATGTAACAATATCCCTTTAGAATTGAGAGTTATAAAGAGGGAAGTGAAAAACCATGTGTTCTGTGAAATGATTTATGTTCTCTTTCCTCCATCCTGGTGCCTCTCTCTCTCTCCCCACATACACAATCTTACAGATGCACTTAGAAACATAACCATGTATGATACTCTATGACCTGCACTTTTCTTTTTTTCAAAATAACTGCTGAGGATTCCGATGAGTAAGGCAAACAGTGAGAGCCGGTGGGGGAGTGAGGGGCGGTAGGGTGTGGGCAGGGGGAAGCCATCCAGGACTGACTGGGGGGCAGGAAGAGTCCTCAGGCTGTCCCTCTGTCCTCCTCATTGAACACCTTGTATCTCAGAGATCCCATCTTGGTCAGAGACGCAGCTCTTACTGGCACCCCGAGTGCAGCCCTCTGGCCAGCAAGAAAGAGGAAGACACAGAAGACTCAGGCCCCTTCCCTTCCTGAAAGCCAAGAACCATCACGGAGTCACAGAGTAACTCAGGGCAGCACAGAAATGGAGAAGTTAAGTGTTTGTTCCACGTGGCCAAAGGATGGCTAGCTAAGAACATGGAGTTTCGATCATGAAAGGGGAAAAAACAGATATTGGGGCTCTCCACGGTCTCTGCCAGAGACAGCTTCCGTATTTGATGGCTGCTTAATAGTCTATTGAATTGAGGTACCAGAGTGCACTTTACAAAGTTAGGGGATTTCCATATTTGTCATTATCTTATGCAGTTTTATAATAAAAATTTCCTCATAAATATATCTCTGAGTTTCTCCCTGATAATGTTGTTGGGATAAACTCTCAGAACTATAATGATGGGGCCCAAAGCATTAAAATTGAAATTTTCTAAGTAGGCCAGTGCTCGGAAAATTGTCCAAACGTGCACTTCCCTTGAGCTGAATGTAATATAGGCCATTTTCCTGTATTTTCACCATCATGATACATCATCTGTTTTGTTCATTTATCAGGCCAAAACCAAATTACTCTAATTTTTGTTTGCTTTCTAACTTGGTTATGCATCCTTTCCCATGCTTATAGGTTACTGTATACAAGTTAAATGTTGGCTGTTAGCTTCATCTCCATCCACCAGCTATGAGTTGGGTAGTCACAACCTTACAGGAGCAGCTCGCTGAGCCACTGCTGTGGCTTCAAATCCTATCAGGGCTGTTTCCCTTACCTGAAAAGTGTGACCGTACTTTAGAATTTGCTGACCCCTTTGTCTGAACCAACCAGCCTTCTCATCCCCACAGTGACCTGACTTGCTGTGACCCTTCTCGGGGCACCCCCTACATGAACACCTTATCAGCAACCTCACTGCTCTAAACAAAACAGCCGGCCTGTCCTGCTTTTGATTCTCCCTACTTCCTTACCCTCCTTGATTATTTTTCCACAGGACTGATTGCTTACAACACACAACATAATCTGCTACGTGTATGTTCATCTCATCCCATGAGAATGTAAGCACCGCAAGGGTGTCGACTGTGTTCTCTTCATTATGGGATGCACAGAATTTGAGAGCAGGGCCTGGCCAGAGCAGACACTCACTTTTTGACTAGATGAATGAATGAATCCATCTATAAAACATGATGTTGTTGAGCTCTGGAGATAAAAATACACGTTTTTGCAAATGGCTTTGCAATAGAAACTATTTTCTTGGCAATATAAAACTTAGGGTTTTGTGTGTGTGTGTGTGTGTTTTACGTTAGTGATGAGTTGTTTTTTGTGCCCCCCTCCCATCAAACCCACTTATTTATTT